AGGAAACATTTGATGGCTCTCTGTCTCTCACAATGTCATCAGAGATTTTCAGTTTAGCTGGAAGATCAGTGCAATCAACCAATAAACAGGATTTGCCATCTACCACAGCATTTTTCTCTTCAGCAATTACATCTTGTGTTAGAAGTTCTTCCTGCATGTCCTCGCAAGACTTCCGTAGTTCACTTTCACTTATTCTCACCACTATCTCAGGTTTGATGTTTGTTTGGTTCTTGCTTTCTCCTACAGGACTGGCCGTCTTAAGTTCATTCTTTGAAGATAGACTAACTTCATTGAGTAACTTATCTTTCCTGGACTGGTTGATACACTACAATATGCAAAACAAATAATGGACAATCAAGTCATAAACAACAAAAAGAAAACAAATCCACCACATTTTACCAAGGGTTTCACTCCGATGGACAATAGAAATGTCATAAAATGGTCAAAATTCATGTGGAACCAATAACCAAGTAAGTGGTTTCACTGCAAAGTTTTTGGCATTTCATCTCACATCAACCATTCCTGTACACCAGTTACATGTAGCTCTTCAGTAACAAGTGTGCAAGGATTCTTCCAGTTGTTCAAAAAAGTTGCAGAGGGGATTTGACACCAGGACAGGACTTGACTAATGAAAATCCAAATTTGATTCACAACCCCTCCAGGCCCCAGTTGTTCAAAAGGTGGATAACGCTATCCACCAGATAAACCACTATCCAGCGGAAAGTGTGGTTTCCTCTGTTAACACTTACAGGTGTATCCACTGGAAAGTGATTTATCCAGTGGATTGCGTAATCCAGCCTTCAAACATTTGGAGCCAGGTGGACACATCGAAATATCTGGATTAATTGTGTTCAGTTACTAAACCCAATCATTTCCCCAAGTTTGACTGGGTTTGATTGAGTTTGATGATGTCCTGAACCACATGTACAAAAGACATTACATGTGTATGTAAACAAAAACCCTCACCTTTAAATAAGATTCCTTGTAATAATTCATGGTTGCTGCTGAAACTTTCCAACCAGAAGACCTTAATTCCCTAATTTCTAACAACCGAAACCTTGAGTACTTCGAAACATCTCCAGAGACCAGTTTCCCAATGATCATTTGGAATGTTCTTTCTGTGTTAACAGGGCACTTTTCCTCAAGAAACTTGCCACACGCTTTCAGAATATCACATTGAGCATCGCAAAATGCCTCATTGGCCCACAGATTTGGAGCAGATGGCTTGCTATAGGGCCACAGAGCCCTGGCAATTTCTTCTAAGTAGCTTTGTACAGCTTCTTGGTGTGAGGATGGCAGGGACCTTAATCTACTTAGATTGTACAACAGAGAAACTACATTAAATTGCAGTGTGTTTGGAGTTCCAAGATGAGTTAGAACTTTTAGCAACTCTTCACAGGCTGTTTCCAGTTCGGTAAGTAATAATGTACCATTACTGGTGGCATGTGAGCTGACAAGTTCATAAAAGAGTTGCGAGATAACAGGATCCTGATATCTGTCTACCCAACTGCAGGAACAAAATACATTGAAGATACCATTTACACTGTCACAGTCAGATAACAGTGACTGGCAAGTCTTCATCACTTCCTGTGAATTCCCATCACCATTTGCCAGACAATACAGCCGTTTTTCAAGCTCAACAAGCCTTGGTATACTTCTACAAAAGTCAACAGCTTCAACTACTGGACTGCTTGGACTTGAAGTTGAATTTTGGCAAGATCTCCTGAGAAGACCTCTTTGAAAGTCTGATGCACTTCTTGTCTGCATGGCTAATGTCATTGCTGTTGTCCCCACACTTCCTCCTAAACATCAACCTG